CCCATGAACTTGCCAAAGCAAGCCATTCCCTCTTGGCTTTTTCTTCCCATTTCTTGCTGTTTCTCTGGACATTTTTCTGATTAGCCTGAGTAGCTGTGGATCCAGCCTGATTCCTGTGTCCACAGCAAATGTGATGTCACCATAAAATGATGTTGAAGTGACCAAAGTCCAGTCTTCTACAAAAAAAGTTATTCAAGCAAATAACTTTTTTTAAAAATATTTTTAAAATATATTTTATTGATTTTTTACAGAGAGGAAGGGAGAGAGATAGAGAGTTAGAAACATCGATCAGCTGCCTCCTGCACATCTCCTACTGGGGATGTGCCCGCAACCCAGGTACATGCCCTTGACCGGAATCGAACCTGGGACCCTTCGGTCCGCAGGCCAACGCTCTATCCACTGAGCCAAACCGGTTTCGGCAAGCAAATAACTTTTTAAAAGAAGAAATGTTGTAGGGTTTTTTGTTTCAAAGAAGAGTAGTATTCTCGGGGAAAAGGCTACAGAAGTGAAATCGATAAAAGCCCGTTGTCCCCGAGTAGCCTGTGAGGCAGGCGAGAGAGAGAACAAGTAACTCAGGCTCACTTAGGAGCGTGACTGTTCCTCCCACGCTTTGTCTCTCCGTCCGTCCGTCCGTCCGTCCGTCCGAGCGATGGAGAGGGCAGACCGAGTTCTCCTTTATCAATGAGGAGACAGGTAGAAACGGCCAGGCTGGGTGTGGGCAGCGCCTCACTGGGCCCTGTGTCCTGGCCAGCCTGACCGCTGCCAGCCGCTGTGAACCGTCAGAGCTGGGGATCTGTGTCCGTGTCAGTCCTGGAAACAAGGAACCTATTAGACCACTTTCTCGCTCTCCATGAAAATGCCTTTGAAGTGAAGTCATGTTTTGTTGCTCCGGAACGGAAATTTAATAAGCCCTCCCCGTGCCAGCTCGCCGAGGCCCCGAGACCAGGCCTCCCCGGGAGGGAGTGCTGCAGACGGAGACTGCTCAGCGCGCCTCAGCCAGGGCGGCCCTGTCCCTGCCCCGGGTCTTCGATGACTTCTGTCCGAGCCGGGGAAGTGAGAATAAAACTGACGCGGAATAAGCCCTCCCTCTCCTCTCCTCTCCTCTCCTTTCCTCTTCTCACGCGGGGGGACCTGTGGATAAGCAGACACAGTTGCCGGGTGTTCTGATGGTTGAGTGAGTCTTGGCTTTTATTGTTTCATCTGCTTGCAAGTTTGAGACTGAGAGCCACATCCCAGGAAAAGAGTGAGGGCTCCATGCCAGTTCCCAGTCGGCAGCTTTGAGCTCCCAGTGGAATGTCTTGCTACTAAAAATACTGTCATTTGGGAAAATATGTTTAAATCTGACCTCCTGACATGCACATTCTAGCTTTTGCTCTGGTTCTTCGGCAGCAGCCGTGCAGAGTTCAGAATTGTCTCCCCATGCCCCCGAGTCCACCGATGGAATCGTCTTCCACTGTGAAAACAGGCATCCTATGGGTTATTTATATTCCCGACCACTGCGAGCAACAAAGTACGGTTCCTCAGGAGCGTCTCGTGTTGTTTTGGTGTGAGAATGGAGTGCTGAGGTTGGGGGAACTGGCTCCCAGCTGTCACTGCCTTCTTGGGGGCGAGGCTGGCCTGTTCAGTGAAGGGGACATCGAAGTGACTGTCATGCAGCTGCCACGCAGTCCATGAGAGTGACGACCGCGGGGAGCCCACCACTAGACCCACAGGGCCACGCAGGGCGGGGGCGGGGGTGAGGAAGGGCTGACAGCGGGTTCAGACCGTATGTTCAGGAGCCGGAGAGCCGGGGAAGCGAGGTGGTGGAGACTCCAGTGGACGGAGCTGGGGAGGGTCTGTGGCCGGGACCTCTCGTAAGCTCCGTGGTTTTTGTGGGCACAGTGACTCCATTTCACCAAACAACCCGTGTGCCATAAAATTTCCCCATGGGGCCTATTTAAAATGGAGGCCCCCTTCCTTAAAGAGCATGTCACATGTGGTCTTACCATAGTTTGCTTGGGTTTTCCTTATTTGAAAAAAAGGATTTTTTTTAACTTGATTTTTTTTCTTGATTTTTGTGGACTTTTCAGTTGTCTTAAACTGTAGTTTTTGGAAATCCTGATTCCAGGGGTCCGTTATTTATTTTGAGGGTCAGGTGATTGAGAGAAGGTGGCTCCTTTGGGGCCTGTGTCTCAGGCTGGACCCCTGCTCTATGACCCTCTGGCCACCAAGTGCACAGGGAGCTGGGTGCCGGGATCTGTGTGATCCAGGCATATGAGGGCGGGATCGGCCTAGTGGGAGCGAAAGTCAAGCAGACAGTCCCGTTTACAGAGCATCTCCCCAAGGGTGACGTCGCCGGGGCCCAGCTGCCTGACGGCGTGCGCCTCCCAGCCTCGAGGGTGACGCTGCATTCTTAAGTATTGAAGCTGCGTGTCTCCTCGGTCATGATGACCGAGCTGGAGCAAGAAGAAACCAGACCCTGTTTGAGGAGGGTGGATCTTTCCCCTGAAATAGGAAGCAGTCCCCTTTTTTAAAACCCTCCGTTGTGGGGATAGTTTGCTGACCCGGGCGCGCTGGGAGCTGGGCTGGGTGAGCAGCAGCTGCTTGTCAGGCAGGACTGTCTGTCTGAAGCAGCGAGCACATTCCCACATGAGAACGGAGCGTTGCAGTGACCTCACTCCATGAGTAATTCTGGGCGCGGACTCCCTGCATCCACCAGGCGGCTGCATTCCTAGAGCTCAGCCTTGCAGGCCTGGAGGAGAGCCGATTGCCACGGTGGGGACGAAAGAGTCCCAGACCTGCCGCCCGCTGAGCCCGGGGACCCGAGTGCGATGGGCAGGGGGCAGAGGCTGGCTTGGCGGCCTTCTGGGTAGCTTCTGGATGGCAGAGAGCAGGGCCAGGACGCCGCCCAGCCGGCACAGAGGAGTGTGGGATGCAGCGAGGCCCTGAGTAGTCGAGCGGTGGTAAGTAGGTGCTGCTGTTGTAGGCGGGGGCCGGCACCAGGTGTCTGACCTGTGGGTTCAGCAACCTCGGACCTTGGGTTCTGGCTGGGAAGGAATTCAGACAAGACCCAAACCACAGAGAGCATTTCCTGGGTGAACCGCAGGGAGAAGTCATGCCCAGAAGAAATGGTCGGCAGACAAGCTGTGGAGGCAAAGGAAGGGCCTTGGAGCGGGGGCGCGAGGAAGCTCAGGGGACCTGCCTGGGTGGAGGGAAGGGGAGGCAGGCTGTGCTCCCGGGAGGGAGAGGCCCTGGGCCCTCCATCCTCAGGGCTCTCAGGGCGGAGACTGTGGGCAGCTCCCGGGAAGGTCCAGTAGCAGAGGCAGCAGCGTCCAGGTGTGTCCTCTCCGGCTGTGCTCTCCGCTGAGTGGCCGGCACCAGGGCAGGGTCACTGTCCAGTGCAGCTGGCCCTGACGTCAGCGCGGCTGGGTTTGCTGCTTCTCTGGGCCTGGGGCTGAAACAACTGCTCCAAACACACGGAGATGTTACCTCGTGGGACGGAAGGTCAGGGGTCCAACCCTCATGACCAGCGATTTGCTAGGGGAGGAAGGTCGCCCTGGGGCTGAGGTCCCACCCAGCAGTTGACTGTCCCTTGCTAGGCCACCTGGGCTTTCCATCCTGGTGACCTATACTCGCCCATCCTCTTTGCTCTGCTCATGTCCGTCTAACTGCCTACATCACTACTATCCACAACCCTCAGCTTAAAGCAGCTGGTATTCCAGAAGTACTGCAAATACTGTCACTGTTTCCGTATTTTCCTGAGGGGTGCATACTGGATAGCTGAAAGCGAGTAGGAAACAGCAGTATACGGAGGTGATGGCCAGATTGCTGAGCTGCCCCATAACATGCTGGCTCCCGCGTGACCGGATTCCCACGAGGAGTCTGTCCTGGGGCGTGTCTGTGTGGGTGAGGTGCCGGGGTGCTCGGGGCAATTCTGCTCTGCTCCACACACATGTAGGCACACACATCCATCCCGCCTGGGCGTGTCTTTGACCTCCCACACTTCTCCGTGTCTTCCTAGCTGTCCTCTGACCTATGGCTGGGCTGCAACTGGGCTTGCAGTTTGGACTCAGCTATTTTTGAGTCATTTTGTGAAGAGTCAGAAACCTGATCCTCTTTCCCACTCTTGATTGCCATCTACTGTGAGCCCGTGTGCTGCGAGACAGTCGGGTGGGGCTGGTGTGTGCTGGCTGCCCGCGGCTCCCTTAACCCCTGTGTTGTCTCTGCAGCACAATCCTGGAGGAGGAGAAGGCTCAGCACGAGGAGCGCGTGAGGATGGAGTCCAGGCGACAGGTCGCCGTGTCCTGGGACTCCGGAGGGTCCGACGAAGCTCCGCCCAAGGTAGTAGCGGCCCCCACCCAACTCGCATTCCTCCCCTGACCTCTGCGCCCCTAGGGGGGAGGGGGCGGGGGCAGCTGTCTGGAGAGGAAGCCATACCTACAGGAGGTTCTGAGAGTGACCCGTTCACTCCAGCAGTGGTTTCCTGTCTGCTCCTCGGTGCGTGGTGCGCTCAGGTTGGACTCATTTGCTGTGATTTAAAATGTTCTTTCTGGTCTCCGCCCCCCCCCCCCAGCCACAGACTGAGCAGCCTCCCTAGGGAGGCTTTTCCTTTGTTGGCAGCAGGGACCTGCTCCCGTCAGGTCACGTAAAGCAGGAGTCAGTCCCACCCGCCTGCTCCTTTGGGTTGGGTTGGGTCAGAGCCTCTTTCTGCTGGCTGGGGTGTTGGTGAGGGAACTCACGCATCATCCTCGGGCCTTGCCTGCCCACTCCCCTCACACCTGGGCTCTGGTGCTCTCCCCCCACCCCCCTTGGCCTGCTGAGCTGAGCTGAGCTGGGGGTGCCCCTTTGGCTCTGCCAGGCTGTATTTTCACACACTGGCTCAGTCGCCATGAACAATCCAGTCCAGACCATCCTCTGAAAGTAAATGGACAGTAGGGTTTTCTGCAATTAATAACCTGCGATTGGGTATTTCATTGGCTAAAAATATAGTAAGAAACTGTGACATTCTTTATTTCATTTTCTTTTTGAAAATGTTTCGAAATCTGTGAACCCGAAGTGCTGTTTGGATGCCACCCCAGCTTTTACCGTCTGCCCGAGAGCTTCTCTTTCCGTGGTGGTGCCTCCAGTTGTGCAGCAGTGAGCACTGCCGCCCATTTGACGATGTCTGGGGACTGGCACAGTTTCCCAGACTTTCAGGGGGGAGGGTTCCACAGTGCACCCTCCTCAACAAATGGAAACCCGAGGCCAGGCAGGAGGCCCGCGGCGCCTGTCTGATGGATGTCACTGTGAGCGACTTAGTGTTGGAGCCAGGACATTTCTCCGTCTCACCTAGTTTAACAACAAAAAATCCCTCATTGCCCCCAGAACAGCTGTGCGCCCCACTTCCCAGCCTCTGAGGCCCCCAAGTTGTCTACAGTGTTCCTGTCTTACCTCGGGACAGCTGCCAGAGGCCAGCGCTGGGGCGGAGGTCTGCCAGCTCACAGCGGGCTCTCCGCAGGGGCAGGCTCCCTCCTGTGCCAGCCTCGCTGTGCTCCCTGTGGCCAGGCATTCACACTTCAGCCCCACAGATGGGCGCCAAGTAATGCACCCCACACCCCCAAACTCACAGAGTTCCAGGCCTCTCCCACCTGGGCACGGCCCTGTATCTCACGCTGGGGGATGTGGAATGTGCTCATTCGGCCGAGTTCTGGCAGCTGTGCTGCAGGCTCGTGGGTGCAGGAGGCAGGGCTTTTCCTTCTGTTGCCGAGTAGAGAGACCAGCTCTGCTTCCGTTTTTAAACACCCCGCTGTTTTGGAGGTGCTTCCAAGTGCCTGTTTTAGGTTCTTTCCTGTCATCAGAGATGGTTCTGCCTTTCACACAGGCCTCCGCCAACCACCCCCACTGCCCCATTTCATTCATGAGCGTTTGACTGGGACAAACTGCAGTGTCTGTGGCTGGTTTCACTGCCACAGACAGAGTTGAGGAGTCAGTTACTGTGTGGCCCCCAAGATCAGAGTATTTACTCCTGGCCCTTCAAGAGGAAGCTTGGCAAACCCCAGACAATGTTGTCAGGGCCAGAGAGTCACCGGCAGCTGTTTCCATGCGGCGCTGGGGGACTGGGCTGCGCCTGGAAGCCTGAGTTCCTGGAGAGGAGAGCCGGCAGGTGTGCCGTGCGGTTCAGGTTGTACGTTTGGTAGACATTTTCTCAAAAAAGAAAGAAGCAAGACTGTCTCGCCAAGGAAAACAACTGATAACATGTGTTTCCAGGGATAAATTTTGCATTTTCAACCAAAAATTTGAATCTTGAAAAATATCTCTGTCACCTTGATAGTTGTGCAGTTCCCAGCCTCTCTGCTCAGCTCAGGGTGGCGCTCACAGTGTGCGGCGTTTTCAGGTTGTATGATGGCGTGTGGACACTGGGAAGAGCCCGTAACTCAGTTCTCCGGCGTTTCCCAGTGATGAACTGAGCGGTGCGTTCACAGCCGAGAGACGGCAGTGGCTGTGATGTCACAGCTGGCGGCGCAGTTTCCAGTTCCCTGTGGCAAGTCGCCTCCCACTGCCGAGTCTAGCTGTCGTACCAAAAAGCAGCCGCCACAGTTGTTCCAAGAAAGGATGAAAATGCTTGAAGTTCAGGTGTCTCACCAGCAGAGTTTAGAGCGGGGAGTGACTTCAGAGTTGCTCGGCGCCACCCCCTTCATAGGTGAGGAAGTAGAGGCCAGTCTGCCGCTCCCTGTCCCCGGCCACCCACCAGCAAGTGGCCGAGCAGGGCGGGTGCCCAGCGTCACTTTCCCTCCAGGCCGAGTGGTGTGAGCATCTTCTCACGTCTGTGCTCATTGGCCGTCGCACGGCTTCCAGGTCCACTCAAGTCCTCTGCCCACTGTTGAATGGAATACTTGCCCTTGTATTGTGGGGTATGCCTCTCTCACCAAATAGACGGTTTGCAAATATTTCCTCCCATTCTGTGGGCTGTCTTTTCACTTTTCTAATGCTGTCGTTTGCAACACAAAAGCTTTGAATTTTGATGAAATCTAGTTTATGTATTTATTTATTTTGTTTTGTTGCTTGAGCTTGTGGTGTCATAGCCAAAAAACTATTGCCTCCCCCACAGATGTGTCCTGTTTTCTGCTGGGAGTTTCACAGCTTTAGCTCCTCCATTTAGATCGTGGCCCATTTGAGTTCGTTTTTGTGTATATTGTGAGGAAGGGACAGCTTCATTTGCTCACGTGTGGATGCCCGTTGTCCCAGCATCATTTATTGAAGAGACTATTTCTAACCCCACTGCGATGTCTTGGTACCTTTTATCATTCTTTCCAAGTAAACTCTTTTAGAGAAATACCTTCTCCTATCATTTTCAGTAAAACAAGGGTTTATGATTTACCAAAGTGATCAAATACCTATTCATGTGATGCTCTGTTGGTTTGTTCACAGCCCAGCAGGCCTGGTTATCCTAGTCCGAGGTCCAGCGAAGGGTTTTATCCCAGCCCACAGCACATGGTGCAGACCAACCATTACCAGGTACGCAGGCCTTACCGAGACAAGATCTGCTCTCTCCCCTTTGCACGGCTCGGGGGCGGGAAGGGCGGGTGTGTTTGTGTTTTTATCTGTGTACTTAGGAGTATGTCAAGGGGCACGTTGTCCTGACATTCGTGTGGGGCTGTGAGCACTCACCGCTCTGAAAGCAGCCGGGGCAAGTGTCCCATGGCCCACAGTTCCCAGGCCGGCCCCCTTCCCCCTGCTCCCATACAGTACAGGGCCCCGTAGGCATGCGCTCTGCAGAGCCAACTCAATGGGCAGTTCTCCTGGAAGCCAAGAATAAGATTCAAAAGTGCCTTAAAAGCCAGATGAGCCCTGGCTGGTGTGCTGAGTGGTTAGAGCATCGGCCCATGCACTGAAGGGTCGTGGGTTCAATTCCCGGTCAAGGGCACATACCTGGGATGCAGGTCAATCAATCCCTGGCCTCAGTCGGGGAGTGGTGGGAGGCAAGCAACTGATGTGTCTCTCTCACGTCTATGTTTCTCTCTCCCCCTCCCTTCCCATCTCTTCCCCTTTTCCTCTCCCACTCTCTCTAAAAATCAATGGAAAAATATCCTTGGGTGAGGAGTAACAAAACAAACAAGAAATCCAGATGAGTTGCCACATGGGCAAGTGTGGAAGGAAGGGTGGGCTTGCAGACAAATAACCTGCACAGAGAAGTGAATCCTTGAGAGAAGGGGCCAGAGCAGAGTCAGTCGTGGTTGGTTTGGATTTCTGAGGGAAGGTGTCAGCTTTTCTTAAGAGGCAGGAAGCCTGGGCTCAGTGGGCACTGAGCAGGGGTCAGACACAGCATTGTTTCGGGAGAACATGACGGCTCTGAGAGAGGAGCGCTTGGGTCCCGAGAGCTGGGTCCTCGCTCTGTGATGGGCGCGCCGGCCATGGCGCTTGCCGGCTGGGGCTCTGGTGCGTGTTTGTTAGTGGTGGGTGTCCCCTGAGGACAGGGACTCTCCTGGCCTTTCAGCGCCGGCAGCAGTGTGTACAGTGGAGGCCAGTGAGTAGAGGACAGGAATGAGCAGCCCCCCGCTCTGTGAGTGGGAGCAGCTGCAGCGCCTTCCCTGGCGGCGTGTCAGGTCCTCTGTAGCCTGAAGTGCTCCTCTGGTCTGATATGCTCGGTGTGGAGAGAATGCCTTAAGGCATCCCAAATCGCTTTGTTGTGACAATTCCTCAACGCTCCTTGGCAGTAAGATGTCCTTTCTGACCAACTATAGTGAGGGTATAAGCATTTTATGTTTAGCAGAATTTTTACTATTAAATATTGGCTTCAGTAAACGGAGAGAACTGTCTATATGTCTCATTTGACAGTTTAATTCCATATTGTCGGGATGGAGATGGGTATCAGTCAATGCCTGGAGGCCTAACAGATACACAGAACCTCTGCTGAAGGCTGTGTGCCTATTGGCTGTTCTTTATCTCATTCAACATGTGACTGAGAACCCGGCCATGGTACCAGCCACATGAGCTGCGGGAACAAGTGCAGGGTCCTCCTGTCCTCTCTGAGTGAGGGAGGGAGCGGATGAAGCCTCTCATTTCCTCCTGCCTGACGCTCTTCTCCACGTCTGGCTGGCTGTCTCCTGTCGGGCTCATGCATCTTTGTTAGAACTTGAAGATTGACTCCCCACCACCAGCCCTTGTTCACCAGGGCACAGCCTTTTGGGGCTTAGTCTGTTGGGTTGGGCAGGAAGGGGTTCCATGGCAGTGCCTGGCCAGCCTGTGGGCGGCCTCGGACGGCTGCTCCCAGCTGTCGTCAGTGTAGGGTTCGGACTGCCGGGCGTGGCCTCAGTGCAGACTCCCCGGGGCCACCTGCATGCCTCGGCTGGTGACCTTCCTCCCCCTTCAGAGCCGACAGTTGGTGAGGATCTCTTGATCTTCACAAGTCAGTCTCCCTCCCCACCCCCTGCTTCCCTCTTGCACTCTCTAAGGAACCTTGAGGTCACAGGTCCACTCCCGTCTCAGGTTCCGCATTTATGTCCATCTGCAAAGTCCCTTGGCCCTGTAAGGTGACCGCGAACTGGACGCGAGCAGCTGGGGCTGTCATTGGGCCCCACAGCATCCTCTAGTCTAAGTTATCCCCTCTCCCGTGGGCGCAGACTCTGCAGAACTCGTGTGTGCGAACCTGACCCACCCCTCACTCGCCCGCAGGTCTCTGGCTACCCTGGCTCCCACGGAATCCCAGCCATGGCAGGCAGCCTGTACCCGGGGCAGGCATCCCTCTTGGACCAGACAGACTCGTGGAATCACAGACCCCAGGAGATGTGCATGTGGCCGCCCAGCGTGGAGGTAAGCTGGTGCTCTTAGGCTTTCGTTTGCTAACGGACGAAGCTTTGCCCGAGGTCCCTTTTCCTCCTGAATCCTGGGGTGTCGTGTTGGTGACCCACTTCTCAGGCCAGGATGCTCCTTTTCCTCGCTGCTTTCTGGTGCTGTGAATCCTTCTCATTAACAAGAGGAGAGATGCCACCAGCATTAGCCCGTTGGTTTGGAAGGCAGACCCCAGACCAGTGGTTCTCAACCTTCTGGTCCTTTAAATACAGTTCCTTATGTTGTGACCCAACCATAAAATTATTTTCGTTGCTACTTCATAACTGTCATGTTGCTACTGTTATGAATCGTCATGGAAATATCTGATCTGCAGGATGGTCTTAGGCGACCCCTGTGAAAGGGTCGTTTGACCGCCAAAGGGGTCGCGACCCACAGGTTGAGAACCGCTGCCCTAGACTGAATGGAATAGGCGTGGAGCCGAGGCAGAAGCAGGCAGACGGAGCCGTCAGTGCTGTGGCCTCTGCCTGGGGCCCTGCTCCCTCCCAGACCGTTGCGCTGTCCCCTCGGACTGAGCACACCTGGCACGGATGCTCACTCCCCCCTCACAGCGTCTCCCTGCCCGTGCGCTGAGCGTAGCGATGGTACTTTCTAAAGGTGCTTGGCACGCAGCAACTCGCAGCCTCCAGGAACGTCGCCCACAAGCAGTGTGAGCCGGCCTGTCTCCACCACCCGGCTTCCTTGTGGGAAAGACAGGGAAGAAGTAGGAGCTTCACAGGTCGACCTGAGAGCACCTGCCGTTTCTGCCCTCAGGACCCTGCGGCGCTGGACCTGCGCGGGATCGGACAGGTGTTGCCCACACACCTGATGGAGGAGCGGCTGATCCGGCAGCAGCAGGAGATGGAGGAAGACCAGCGCTGGCTGGAGAAAGAGGAGAGGTTCCTGGTAACTGCATTTCGGAAATGTCCTTCCACCCTTAGCCCTGCTGGGGTCTGTGGCAAAGGTTCCTCTTTTCCAAAGCAGGAGAGCTGGCTTCCCCTCCGGTTCCTGAAACTGGCAGTTGTGGGTGTTTGCTCTCCTGGAGTTGCTTTTCCAGTATCAGTTTCTGAGGGTAGCAGTGGCCTTGTGGGCTCAGAGGTGTGAGCATTTCTGTGGCTTCTGTGTTACCACCGAATTGACAGAAACAGCTCCCCGAGGTGTCAGCCTGCACACGGGCTGCCCGCCTGTCTACTTCCGTGATAACATGCTGCCCGCCACAGACAGCTGCCTGTCATTGAGAGACTGGTACCTCATTCCCGTTGAACTTGTCGTTGTGTATTCCTGTGTGTGCAGATGCAGTCGGTGGTTAGGAGTTTATCTTGGATTTTCCGGGATCTATCACCTGAATCTTGTGGCCGGTTTCCGTGGATTTTCCGAATGCACAGCTGTCGCTCTTTAAAGCTCTTCATCTCACTCGATGTTTCTTAGACACGTTCCACTTCTCTCCTGGGGTGTCTCTTGCCAACTTTAGTATGAAGTAGCTCCTTGCTGGCTTTTCCTGCTTTTATTTTTAAAGATAGTGCCTCTAATAGTTTTCTCCATTAAGTATAATTTGGTATATTTGTGCCTGTACATTTTAAATATATTGAGGTGGTGGTGGTGTTTTTAAGAAAACTTGAGCCCTAGCTGGTTTGGCTCAGTGGATAGAACATCGGCCTACGGACTGAAGGGTCCCAGGTTCGATTCCAGTCAAGGGCACATGCCCGGGTTACAGTCTTGATCCCCAGTGTGGGGCGTGCAGGAGGCAGCCAATCAATTATTCCCTCTCATCATTGATGTTTCTATCTCTCCCTCTTCCTTCCTTTCTGAAATCAATAAAAATACATATATTTTAAAAAAGGAAAAGAAAACTTTAAAAGGTTTAACATGAGCTACCTGGAGGGCTTTGCCTGGGTTTATGCTGGTCCTGCATCCCGGGATAAGTCCCTCCTCCGTCATAGGTGAACCCTCTTCTCAGGCCTGGTTTATTTGTGTGGTGTTTCATTGGGATTTAGAATTGATGCTCATCAGTGAGAATAATTTGTTTCTTGTCATCGTTTATTGGCTTCAGGATCAGCATAGTGCTGGTTCCTAAGGTGAGTTGAGTGATTGCCACCCTACGGATTTGGGTCTTCGTTAGGTCCATGTCGTGGGTGGTGGGGCTGAGAGCAGCAGGCAGTCAAGACAGGGCCGCCTCCAGTGACGGGACTGAGAGCGAGGAGACGGGAGCAGTAAGCATTCCTTCCGCCTGGGCATTTTAATTGGGATTTCTGCAGCATTGTCCCCGCCACAGCCACAGTGATGTTCCTAAGATGCAGGTCTGATCCTGAGTCTCTGGTGTAAACTCTGCTGGAGCTACCCCATGACCCACCCAGCCTCCTTCTCGACCCTCCTTTCTTCCTGTCCTCCTGGGTCAGCCTCCGATTGTGGCCGAGAACACTGAGCACTGAGGAGAGGGACAGCCCCCAGGTCATTGGGGAGGCTGAGCAGCTAAAATGACAAGAGCGACAGCCCCAGAAGATCTGGGGAGGAACATTCCAGGGAGAGGGCACGCCAAGTGCAAGGACCCAAGGCGAGCTGGGAAGGAGCCAAGTACGTCTGAGGGTCGG